TTATTTTTCAGGTTTGCTCCCTATTTAAAGGAATGAGGAGGCTAGGTTTTGCTCATTCTCAGCCTCCATCAACCCCCTCAAACCCTAAAGAAAGCCCTAATCACTTTCCTCCATTATTGAGCTAGTTTGGTGTTCTTTGAAGCTAAAGAAGGAAGAAAGAAGAAGAAGAAAAAATAGATCAAGCAAGCAAGTCTCCATTTTTCACCTTAGCACTCTTCTGGACCTTTATAAGTGTCCAAGACTCGATTTTTATCATGCTAGGTTGTTAGATCTTGAATTTTGGCCCATAAACTTTTTGTTCTTGCTTGTTGGGATGATGAGATATCATAAAGTTTGCAACTTTATGAATCTCTGGGACATTTGGTATAATTTGTGCCTTGGATTTGGAGTTTGGTTGGGTTTTCAAGACATGCATGAGATTTAGGTCATAAACCATCATTTTGACCTAATATGGGTTCAAGACATGCATTGGACATGCATGTCTATAAAGCACCAACTTTTAGCTTAGTTTTGGTGCTAGAATCACTTCTGGAGAGGATGGACTTCGGAATTTATGGAATAAGTGCTTATTGGTTAAGTCCTTGCATTATTAAGCCATTTAGGACTTGGAGAATTGGGTTTTGGACCTTTTGGGTGGTCCTAATGGATAAAGTTGGAAACTTTATCCATTTAGATCACATTTTGGACCAGATCTGAGCTTTGGAGCTCTTGGAATCGAAGAAAACAGCTTAATGCATTAAGTTGTTTGGAATCTCAGCTACCACGGCGTGGTGGCAGGAAATTTCCCCAACTGTTTGGTTGTATGTGGGCCACGACGTGGCGGTCAGCTGAAATCAACATTGACTGTTGACTTTAACCGAAGCACTACGCCTAGGAAAAAACTAAAACTTTGTTAGAAATTACCCCCTTTACTTATCGGGATCAGGATTCAAAAGAATGGTTGGGACAACAAACATCCATCCCTTGAGGGTTGACTTTTGACTTGTGAATTTTGGCTCAGCTATTAACGTCCCGAACGGTAGATTAAGATTTTACCTTGTGTGATTATCTAGGTGGCGTTTATTACCTGTTATGGGATTTTAAGGCCGTGTTGACTTTTGAGTTGCTTTGCGAGGTGAGTTTGCTCACTATACTGTAGGACACTAGGGATTGTATGTGCTTGTAGTCTTTGTGACTCCTGTTGTATGTGTTATATGCCTGTGTGCCTGTTTGCTATATGTATGTGGGGGTGAAATAGACTCGGTATAGCCTTGTTCTGACATGGGTTGAAATAGACTCGGGGGTGAAATAACATGTACAGCCTTGTGCTGACATATGAGTTGAAATCGACTTGGGGGTGAAATAGGCCCGGTACAGCTTTGAGCTGACGTATATGTATGGTATGCGGTATTTTGGGGAACTCATTAAGCTTTGTGCTTATGGTTTTCAGTGTATGTTTCAGGTACTTCCGGATCAAAGGGGAAGAGCTCGGGATGATCGCATCACACACACCATGACTTTTCACTTATTTGACTCTGTTGTATATTGGATGTTTATGGATTTCCCTTGGGTTTTGATAAACACGTTTGGTTGATGTTTTATTTAATATAAAAACAAAAAAAATGGTTTTGAGTTTTGGGACATTACAACTACCTACCACCACCGCCATCACCACCTACCACCACCACCCACCACCGCCACCACCACTACCATCATCGCCCACCATCACCGCCACTACCACCACCCACTACCACCACCACCACCACCTACCACCTCCACCCACATGAATTATCAATTAATAAAATGAAAATTTACTATTTAATAGTTTATATAATATATCTTTACATATAAGATAGAAAACAAAGTAAATTAAGCGAAACAGACAAAAAAAATGGCAATTTTATCATTTTTCATGGATTAAAATTCCATTCCAGCCAACCAAACAAAATCTGAAATTAATTCCAATTTCATTTCCTACAAACCAAACAATATATGAAATTAGATTCAAATTCCTGACAGTTTCTTTTTCCAATTCCAATTTCAATTCATTTAGAAACATTTTGCGAACGAAACAGCACTTAAGGGCGTTTTGGCAAAACTAGTTAGTAGCTGGTAGCCGAAAATGGATAGTTGATAGATGGAAGCTTGAGTTTTTATTATATGGGTGTTTGGCAAAAGTAGCTGAAAGTTTTTGAATTTTATAAAATTACATAAAAGAGCATTTGTCTAAAATCTAAATGTGAAACATAATAAATAAAAAAGGAAATTCTGAAAATTGATTAAAATGTCAATAACTTTTTCTTAAACGTTATGGACATGTTTGTCAAAACTAGCTGGTAACGTTTTGTTAAACGTTATATGAGATAGATTTAAAGCGTTTTCTTTAAACTAAACGCTAAAAGCCTATAGTGTCAAATTATGTTTTTTGTTTAAAACGGAGTGTGTTGTCAAACGTTAGAAGCTCTCAAACGTTATGTGTCAAACACGCCCATATTAAATAGTTTATAGATTTTGAGCATTTTGTTTAAACTAAAAGCTAAAAGTGTGTACTGTCAAACGAAATTTTTTGTTTAAATCAAACGTTCTGTCAAAAACTAAAAGTTAGAAGCTTCCAAACGATTTTTGTCAAATGTAGACTATTCATATCTTAGTACGTACGTACTACTTAATACCTTCAACATGAGGAGTTTTTTTGCCCACCTACAATTTTCACTTGGAGACTATATATATTTATCTAGTTAAAGGCTCACTCTATATATATAACACCCAACGATTTAAGGTAAGAAGAACCACACCTTATCGAGTACTTTCTAATTTAATATTAAGTAGAAATTAATTTAAGTTAAGGTGTGCAATGTATGTTAAGGGCAAATGGTGCTTTAATAACTATATAAAAGTAAATTATGCAAAAAAAAAATAATAAAAAAATAAAAAAATAAACTTAAGTTAAGTTATTTGTTAATTAATTTAGTGCTTAATTAATTTTTTTTTTTTTAAGAACGGCAAATCTACACTACTCCTAAACTATTCTTAATACCACATATGTCTTCAATGAGACTTGAACCCTCAACCTCTAGGAGGGAGGGCAACACCCGATACCGCTGGGCTAGAAACCCTTTAGTAGTGCTTAATTAAATTAGTTATTATACTTTAGTCTATGGTAGGGTTATTAGTTATTAGTTAATTAATTTAGTCCTTGATTAAACTACCTTTATTTACCAATTAAGAAATCCCCTATAGGGTTTTTCATGGTGGTGATTGACATCGAGAATTGGGAGGGAGACATCGAATGACGATTTTGGTGACAAATGAGAGGATTCGTTATTTACTTATTTTTGACACATATAATTGGTGACAAATGAGAGGATTCGTTATTTACTTATTTTTTGACACATATAAGTGTTTTGATATCAAATACGGTAAACTTTTCTTTGTTGTGTGATTCGGTTAGGATTTATTGTGGTGAATCATCTGGGGTTTTCAGTTTTTATTGTTCTTAGAGTTGGTTTTTCCAAATCCTTGTTGATAATTGATTCAGACCATGACTTGATCTTTTTCTACACGAAAATTAAACTTGGGAGCAAATTGGACCTCCAAATGGAACCAAGTCAGCATTAACCACTCTAGACGGAGAGTGTTTTAAGTCCTGGAAAAAAGCCAAAACTCGATTAACCGAGTTTACAGGATCACCGAACAACTTTCCAAACTCAGTCAGCCGAGTTCCCAAGTTGACTCGGTGAGTACAATAGGTGTTGTCATGTCTAGTTTTATATTATGTTTCATAGAGGGACTTTTTTGTTGAGTTGTATACTTGTAAAAAATATGTAAAATATAGGAAAAACTCTAATCTAATTGTAGGTTAGTGTTTTAATTACAATTAATCTAGGTACTTGGTATAGGTTATTTGCCTACGAGTCTTAGATTTCTAGTTGCGCATTATATGTTTGTACATAATTGTATTTCTATGACATCCCCTATCAAATTAGATGTTTTACTAAATGTTATTTATGACTCGATAGTTATTTTATATGCTATTTCATGTTATAATTATGATGTGATGTTATGTCTAGTTGTCATGTTAGGATCGATGTTACGATATTATGATGTTATGATATGCTAGTATGCTTAAGTGCTTAACTACCATGCCAAGATTGATGTTATGATGTTACAGGGCGATGATTAACTTAGGGTGCTACTACATGTATCTCTCTCACTCACACAAAAAGTCAAACATACACACAATCACCCATTCATATAGGGTTGTACAAGTACAACTAGTAATTGGAGGTACGGATAGACTCACTCTTAACTTAGTTTCCATGCTAAGAATGTTGTTATTATTTGATGATGTGATGATATCCTTAGTTGTCATGCTATGATTTACTGATGTGATGGTATGCTTAGTGTTCATCTTATGAGTGATGTTATGATATGATGAGTTGATGATACGATCATCGTCATGCTCATATTTTATGTTATGATGTGATGATATGTCTAGTTGTCATGTTGAGATTGATGTTACCATGTTATAATGATAATGTTATAGTTTTATTATTATGTTGTGTACATGCTATATTTCTTGCCATTGTATTCACATGCATTGTCGTTTTATAATTTATATCATAGCAAGATACATGTTGACTCGATGATGAATTTTGCCACTCCTTTGAAGAATTTTGCCACTCTTTTATATTTTATTTAACTTTTTTTTAAATTAACCCCAACTAGTTTATAATATAAAAAAGACAAATAAAAAATAAAAGTTATATATCCATCGTTACACACGTGTAATTAATTAAATACACTGAAACCTGATTACAGAGGACCGAATCTGCATGCCGAGAAAACTGACGACTTTCACTCTGCCATTTGATAATGATTCAAATCATATGAACAACCTAACTCTATAATCGATCTGTAGCGACTAATTAATGATCACGAAGGAGTTCACCAACCTGCATCGATCGATGTCTCATGATCTGAAATCAATCCAACAATTTTGCTCTAACGAAGACGATGATCTAAACCCTAGCAGATCTTCGATTAGTGTAACGAACGGAGAAGGATTTGGAAAGAATCTCAGGCTCCGACTCACTGTTCCATTGCAATCCATGGTCGAAATTCTGCATGTACGTATATTCATCGTAAGGAACTTGATGATGAACTGATGAAGATCTAACCATCAATCTCTTTTTCTCTCTCTTCAATTTCTTCCACCACACTTTCCACACAGATTGAGAGGCGCCACCTGGCTGGGTGGCAGAGTTCACCGTATCAAGGTGGTCGTAAGTATGATCTGGTTTGACAGATTTACTGCGCCATTTCTTCTTCATATCCATGCTGGATTTTGGTTGGTGGTTTAGTGAGGACTGAATGTTTTACATCTTTATAACATTTTTATATTACTGTAAGTTACTATATAAGTATATACATTATGGATATGGTCAAAATTGATACGCAGCCTTAGGCAAAAGGTCAACAATTCAGCCAATAGTCAAATATATATATATAGTATTATTTTAATTTGCCGAAATTGCAATCTGCTGCATTCTTTTGACACATTCGTTCTTTGGTTTTGGATAAATGAGGCTGTTTTTGCCTTATTATATTAAAAAAAAAACGCGTTTACAAATGAAATAAAGTTGGGCTAAAGTGGAAATAGCCGATCAACTTTCTGTATTTTTGAGAATTATCAATAAGTTACTTTTAAGCAAAATTACAAAAATAGTCTTTGAAATTTATAAAAGCTCTCCACTTTTGTTCAATTTTGACCTCTAATCCAGTCATTACTCTTTATAGATCCAAAAGAACAGAAAAACACAATATGTATGAGAAATAATAAACAACTCCCGGGCTTTTTTCATTAAGCATATTTGAAAAGAATCACACATAAGTTATAATACGTTTTCATTTTGGAACAACAAAAGACGTTTAAAGTTATAAAAACAAAAGATAAAAATCCTGCAGGCGTTGCGTTGACATGCACGCACTTGAGTTGAGGTATCGGGTCAGATTGTTGACACTATACACCCTTACACTTCCTCCCTCCACCAACAACACCCCTTCATCTTTCTTTCCTTTTAAAGAAAAGCCCAAAGTAGATTTCCTTTTTGCCTGTACATAAATTTTAAAAAGTTTTTATATAATTTCCCCTTTTTCCATAACCGCACAACAAAAACTCTACAATTCTTTCACCGCCTTCCCAACCGCACCCCTGTGGCAAAACCGTAAATAACCACATCAGGTGGAAATCTTTATATTAGCAATATGGGCAATGTACTTTATTTGTTACCCATAATAGCAACATACTTTTAGTTTTCCATTGAGAGTAGAAGGGAAAACTCCATAAAAGTCCTTATATTTTGGCCTCATAATACATTTAGTCCTTATATGTTTATTTTAATTCAGTTAAGTCACAAAAACCGGCAATTGTATTCATTTTGACCCTTTTACCCGGTCAACGGGTCATCCCACTTTCAAAATTTACACTTTTGGCCCAGATTTTAAATTTTATTGGTCCAAAATTTTACACTTTTGGCCCAGATTTCAAAATTTTAATACCAATTCATCCTAAATTGTAAATTTTGTTCTATTCATACAAAAATGGTTTTTTAAAAAAAAGGTCTCTATATAGAAAAAAAGAAGGGTTTTTATGTGAATGTTTTTTTGTATAAATATGATTTTATACGGCAAAAAAAAAATATTTGAAACAAAATTTTGAAAAAATTATGTAAAAAATAAAAAATAAAAAACTAAACTTAGGATAAATTCGTAGTAACAATTTGAAATCTGGGCCAAAAGTGTAAATTTTGGACCAAACATGTAATAAAATATAAAATCTGGGCCAAAAGTGTAAATTTTGAAAGTGGGATGACCTGTTGACCGGGTAAAAGGATGAAAATGAATACAATTGCCGGGTTTTGGGACTTAATTGAATAAAAAATAATAACAATAATAATAATAATAAACATACACGAACTAAATTGATTATGAGGCCAAAATATAAGGAGTTTTCCCATAGTAGAAATATGTAACAATAAAGTATATTACCCATATTGGTATTGTCAATGAAAAATGTAAGTTACATATATATATATAGGTGTTTCTTTTTCATTTAAAGCAGAAAGAAAGACTTAATAAAATAACTATATCACAAAGTAAACACTTTTTTGAAAGAGAAACATACGGATAGAATTTTGTTTCTTGAGATTTTCAAGATACAGTTCTTCCATAACAGATGGATGCTATGTACAAATTCTTGGACCATTTCTCCTGTGGATACAAAAAAAATTTAAAACTTTTTTTAGTTTTTAATTTGTATAATTAAGAAAATAATAATAATAATACCTTGACATGGGTACTAGGAAAAGCAGATGTCCGAAGAGTTTCTTGAGTAACATCTTGTGATCTCTTCTTTGTTGTACTAAGAATGAAGGCTGCTTGATCTTCTGTTGCTGCTGCTGCTGTAATTCTGTACCCATTTTCCCATCTTCTATGAATTCCTTCACTTGGATATAGAAAATCCAGCTCAACCACCTATTAAAAAAAAAACACTACTAAAGTTTGGATGGAATGGAATTGGAATCACTAAGGAATGGAATGGGAAAAAGGTAATGCAAAACAAACCGATTTTCTTAAATACCAACGGAATCAATCAACCATTCCTTCTCAATTCCATCATACCAAAAACACTACTAAAGTTTCATTCATAACATAATAAGTTTATAACAAGAATTTAATAAAATAATAATAATAATACCTGATTAGAGTAAGTTGCATCACGAGACATTACAATACCCCATCGACTACCAGCAGTTGTCATTGAAGTTACCAAAAACCCTTCTTTCCATTTTTTATTAATCCACTTAAATGGAAATACATCACTCACTTTATACGATTGTTGCGTGTATGTTGTCCCTAATAACAAGTTACAAAAATTAAAAAACCATCATAAAGGGCAAAATCGTAAATACCCATCATCCAAAATTACAAAAACTTACCTTTTGACATTACCACCAATGCACTACCATTAGTCGCCCCAGCAAGTGATGTGATGTAATAATTCTTCTCCCATTGCTCCATAATCCATTCCTTCAATAAACAAACATAAAAATATAATTTACTACATATTATATAGTGAAAAAAGAAAAAAGAAAAAAGGTTACCTTGTGTAAGAAAACAGGGGAGAGTTCATAGACTTGTGAAGTGAACCCTGTCCCAGCATCCATAACAATGGCCCATAAATTTGATGCAGAAGCAACACAACTAATATTCAAACCATCATTCTTCCCTTTTTCAACATGTTGATGAAGTCTTGAATCCATTACATTGTAGTAATACCTATGTTTATATTTGTCAACAAAGATTATTCTTTTACTATATTTGGTTTTTCTTTAACATCCTAAAATGGAAATTTTAAAATGTGTAAAACTTACCTTTGTTTCATGGGAGTTCTTGAAGTATAAATAGAAATCCATTGAGTTGCAGGAGTGCCTAGACGTATTTTCTTCCTAGGTTGAGCATCATCTTCCAAATCAATAAGTAGTCTTCCCCTCTTTTGTCCAACCTATTAAATAAATATCACATAAGTTTACATCAAAGAATCATAAAAAGAGGAAGATTTAAGAGCAAATAAGAAAGAATAGCATTGAAATTGTACCTTTAAGGCACCATCTATTCTGATTGGGCGTAAAGATGCACTTGAAACTAAGCAGTTTTCAAAGAGGCCAATGAGCTTCAAGTAATTTGGTTCTTCATCAAATTTCATATTTGTCACAGTTTCAAGGAATAGTTTGAAAGGTGATGGACAAAGGTAACAAAGAATATCGGGAGAAGTTGCCATCTTTTTTTTACAAACAAGAAACCCTTTGTTTTCTCCCTGAAATTAAACAGCTTTAATCATTAGGTTCAACGATAAAGTTATATAAAAGACAAAATTTACTCGACATTTCAAGATTGTATTGTGATTAAAACGTTGAAACGATTAGATGAAAGTATGAAACCTAAAGATTTTTAAAGATTGCAAAAGCTAACAAAATGGAAAGAAGGTGATTTTGGGAATCTTGAAATAATCTGCTTAAACAAAGCATCGAACTTTATGAAATTCTTATTTAAGGAAGCAAATCCAAATTCTATGGGTTCGACAACAAAGAAAATAAAGAACAAAATTCCCTAAAAAGGAAAAAACGTAAAAGTTTAGACGTTGATAAACTTTAGGAAAGAACTCACAATGAAACCTTTCCATGGAAGCCTTAAATCAATTATACTGAAAGACAAATTATAAAATGGAAATTTACTCAACATTTAAACTTCAAGTGCCTTCGCATGTAACCAGAGTATGAAAATCTTGAAACAGTTCAATAAGAAAAACCAAAAGCACCCAACTTTCATATATTTGCACTATGAAAATCCACAAAATAGAAACAAGTTTGGGAATCTTGAAATGGTTTCTTTAAAACCCGTGAAATCAAAAGCACCAAACTTTATACAAATTCCTATTTTAGAAACCAAATCCAAATTGGGTTCCACAACAAAGAACATAAAGAGAAAAAGATTCCTAAAAAAGAAAAAATAACGAGTTTAGAAGTTGACAAATTTAGGGAAAAACTATCAAAGAAACCATGCCATGGAAGCCCTTAATCATAACCTGAGTATGAAAATCTAGAAAATTTTAAAATACAAAAGCACCCAACTTTGAAGATTGCATAAAAGCAAAACCCACAAAATGGAAAGAACATAACTTTACGAATCTTGAAATGATTTATTTAAAAGTTAAAACCGATGAAACCCAAAGCACCAGATGTTATAAAAAAAATCCTAAAGAAAACAAATCCCAATTGTGTTCAACAACAAAGAAAACAAAGACCTAAACTTTCTAAAAAATAAACAATTTAAAAAGTTGGAAACTTTATAAAATTTTAAAAACAAACTCACAATAAAACCCTGCCATGGAAGCTTTCCTCTTAAGAGAAATATCAGTGTATAAGCCAAAGATTCAAGATCATCTCTTCGGCTTCCTGTCCTCCCTAAATGTGCATGCACACTTGCATAACGCACTGTTCCCCTATCACAATAATAATAAAAAACACAACATTTATAAAAATTTAAAACCTTATAAACTTATTTAAGCCAAGAAAAACATCTAAAACCACAAATTTCAGCCAAGAAAGTACCTGAAAACATCAGGCTTTTGGTCATAATCAACATGATTACCAGATGATGTGTCCCTCCATTTTGAAGCTAAAATATAAAAATATTAAGCCATAGAATTTTTTTATTGATAATATTTTTAAAATGTTAAATAAAGTAGGAGAAATACGTACCTAAACCAAGATCAACTAAATATAACTTTTTCTCATTAGGTGTTCCAGGTTGACCGAGTAAAAAGTTTTCTGGCTTCACATCTCCATGAACAAAACTATAAAAAGTAAACAATTTATTGTAACATATTTTATAAAGAAAGAATAAAGCATGTGTCTAAAATCTTAAATTTACGTGGATACCCTCGTAAATGAAGCTGCTCTAGGATCGATAAAGCTTCCACTGCTATACAAGCAACCATTTCTTCAGAGAGACTGTTAAAAAGAAAAAAATTAAATAAATAAATAAACTTTATACAACTTTAAAAAGAAAAAGAAAAATTAAAATTACAACAAGATTGATTTATTCACATACATTTGATTGCTAGAGTTCCAAACATCCCATAAACTCGGGCCTAACTTGTCCATAACCTAGATAAAAAAAAATGTAGCATATTAAGCACAAATGATGAGAATGAAAAGGGCATTTACGTCTTTTTCACAAGTGGAAACTAATGGAAGATTACTCACAAGAATATAATAGTCTCCTTGGCGACCTTTATGATGCACCATTGGAACTCCATAACACCCATTAAGAGTACTTCAAGAAAAAAAAAACAATAAAAAAAAGTAATTAGCATTTTTTTAAAACATTTCATGTTTTTTAAAACAAATTAAAACAACATTCACCTGTAAACTTGCCACTCATAAGGAGGACCATAACTACACCCCTTCCCATTTCGATGCTCCAACTTTAAAGCAACCTAAAAATTCTCAACATGTCAATAATAGCATCAAACTTTCAACAAATAAAAATCTTTTTTTTAATAAAATATATAAATTTATAAATATATATACCTCAAGAGCATCGGGACCCGTGTTCCCTGAGCCACCACTCACCCTTCTCCCTACATAAACTTGACCAAATCCTCCTTTACCGAGTTTTCTTTCTAATTTATAAGCAGGAGAATTCCCAACTTGAACCTAAAACCCAAAATTATATTTTAAAAGAAAAAGTTTAAATGTAAGTATATAACCATTTTCATTTCTTTTTCAATCAAAAACATAAAAGTTTCAGACTTTTTCCGAAATCAACCATTTTGACAAGTTATATCAGTTGAAATTGAAAATGGTTAAACATGAAAAATGTCTAAAACTTTATGGCCCTAATATTTCATAAACAAATGACTAAAATACCCTTTCGGGAAGAGGGCTTGTGCTTCCTTCATCTTCTGCATCATTAGCAGCCAATTTTTCAGCACTTTTACCAACAACTAATGGATTATTATTACAAACTCCAACATCAAGATTTAAGTGGGCCCGACCGACACCTGTACCGAATAGTTCAGGGTTTTTATCCTCTGTTGCTCGGGTCCCACGACCTCTGCCAGCTGGCCTAGGCATCGGATACGGGTATGCGGGGCCCACTGGACCTGGACCAACACCAGAAGCAGGTGCTTTTTGTGCTTGAGCTTTGCCTCTCCGGGTCCCACGACGTGGTGTTGGAGCTAAAATAGGGGCATTTTCGTCAATATTGTTATTATTATTATTATTGTTATTAGCTTTTTTGGCTTGGCGAACTCCACGTCTCAAATCCGGCATCTTCTTCCATGCACAAATAAAGATCCTCCAACCCCACCAAAGATACGCCTATAAAACCTGATAAAGATTCAAGAAATCAAATTTATATCCATAAATTAAACAACTTTTTAGCACCCATCATCTATTTTTATCAGTATCAGTATCAGAATCAGTATCAGAGCATTGGTTTAAGTGAACTAGGTTTAAATCTTGTAAACGGATTGCCTAAAGAATGTCTTAACTATATATGTATTTTTTTTTTTGTTTCTATATGAAGCTTCGATAGGGTTATAATGTAATGTTGTATCTAATTGTTTTAATGAAAGTTAATTTTTTGTTTAATGTGACTTCCTTTTTTGGGAATACTACCGTTTTAGAGATGTAGAGTATACTGATTCAAATAAAGAGGAAATAAGTGAAATGTTATGAATGAAATTCGTATATAGAAGTTGAACATCTGTAATTAAAACGATGTAAATGTTCTTTGATACTAGTTATCAGCAAAAAAAGTGTTGATTAAGAATTTAAGATCATTTTTTTCTGCATTTACATTCCGAGAATTCATCAAAAGTTGTTTGTTTTACGAAAATGATGGTCTATTTAGTTCTGTGTGAAATAATTGACTGTCTATTTGTCTGTTTGCAGTGAAAAGGGGAAATTGATGGTTTAAAACAATAATCATTTGAAGAATAACTAATTTCAATCGGCTAAAATCACAGTAATTCTGTTGTATAGCGAAGTTGATGTGAATTTACTTGGTAATCGGGAAAAACAAGAACAATTTCTTTTCTTAATGATCTGATAAATCAGATAGAAGAACAAAGGCAACCCCCAAATTTTGCTATTGAGTAACCCAACATCAATCAGTTGTAAGATCACTTTTGAATACAATCTACAAACTTAAAGTACGAAGAAGAGATCAATTGATATGATACACCATCAACAATGATCATCGGATAACACAAAATTGATCAAAACAGTTGAGATACCCAAAAGAAAGAAGCAAAAAACATACATCGTAAATGCAGAAACGTCAGATTCAAAGAGAGACAGATACACAGTAGAATCAGAAACAGCAAAAGACAATCTGAATTTTCAGAAATAAAGATTATACCTTTGGGTAAACAATCAAGTGCCCAGATGATCGATTGAAAAGGGGCTGTTAAGATTGAATCGAAGAGATTGAAATCTCGATGAAAGATATGTTTGGATTTGTAAATTTCATGAAGAGGAGAGGTCGGTAAGTCGAAGGGGGTTTGCGGTGGATGTGTGTGTGTCTGTGTGGCGCATGGAAAGACGGTGTAAGGTACGTATGGGCGTAGGATAGCATCCTCTGTCTCTATGACACCATGGTTGTGTTTATCAATGACAATGGCTATGTGCTGGTGTGGATTCGCCCTTAGATTTAATGGGGCCTCGTACTCGTACCTTCACGCTTGTTAATGGCAAATGGGCTCCTCTTCACCCTCTTCAAGTTTTGTGTGGGCTCTTTGATAATTCTTGCTTCTGAATTGATTCAGTCATCGATCAGATTACAAAAGTTTTAGGTCGACTTTTGTAAGGCTGTAATTCTGTAAATTGTAATTGGTACTATTGCTTATACAAAATGAAATGAAATTAAGGAGAATCATATGTTTATTTATTACATAGAAATAAAATTATATACTTTTCTAATCCCTTCTTTAGGATTCGTTTTTAGTTATGAAACAAATGATGTTTATTTCCTATTTCTTAATAGGATGAAATAATATACAGCTAAAAGTTTATTTGTAGTTAGATAGATTTTAATTATATTAATAATGTTTATAAAAAAATTCAAATCCAAAAATATAATTAAATTAGTATTTGTTATATTTTGAAAAAAAAAAAATTTAAGTGTTTGTTCTTCTCATTTTCTCACTTTTATATCGAGTTTTTAGAGTTATTTATTCAATATACTTTTTTTATGATTTTATCTAAAAGAATATCACTAAACTTGTTTAAAACTTTATATTTGTTTTAAAAAAAGTAAAACTTGTTTTTATAAACTTTTGTTCATGTTTTTTATAACTCTTTATCATTTTTGTACAACTTTTTCCAATCTTTTTATTATATTTCTATTTACCATTTTCATGTTTAGCTTTCTTTTTGGAACAGCTCGTGTTTATCTCATTTATTTCGGTAAATTATTATTATATCGAAATAAAAATAAAAAATTACTAATATAATTTTTATTCAAATATTTATTTTCTTATTTAGCAAATTGTATCCATACAAAAGTAAATCTATTCGCATTTTTAAAGTAATAATTTAGGTAAATTACATTTCCACTTGTAGGAAAAAATTATCATGTTTGACACACTTAGTTTTTCACATATGTGTTTTGTTTTTATAAAAAAAAAGGTTAATACTATTTATATAATTTAGTTTTAACGTTTAAATAAATTAATTTTAGATTAAAATAAAAAAACAACTAATATAAATGTTATTAAAAAAAATCATTTTTATAACATAAACACGTCATGAAAAAAAATAAGTACATTTATGAGATGGATTTCTTTTTACGAAAAAATATAAGTACAAATATAATTACCTAAATAAGCACTTTAAACGTGATGAATTCTTTTACATATATTTTTTCTTTTATAATAACTTTTATATGAAATTTTTAATAACATTTATATTAATAGTTGTTATTTCAATCTAATAGTATTTTAGTTAAATAATTAAGCTAAACGTGAAAAATATAAATAGAAATATAAAAAGTTTAAAGAAGTTTTTAAAAGAAAAACTATAAAAGTTATTAAATAGAGTAGAAAGATATAAAAAATAATACATTAAAATTGCTTAAAGAGTTGTGAAAAAATATTAAAAAGCTTGTAAAATAAGTTAAAACACGTTTAAAAGGTTGTAAAAAATAGTTTAACTTAATATTGTTTTTTTTTAACATGGTATGTAAGCATATAAAGTCAGCAATTTATCGGAAAAACCGTTAGAAATCGACTGGACTTGTTATATTCGGTCGAAAAGAAAGACTTTGAACACCACGTGTGAATTTCATGGTCGTATACAAAAATATATATAGTGACTAAATGAATAAATAAAAGGTAATGCTTTTGAACTTTAGAAAATCGTTGAAAAGGGTTAAGGCTATGTTTTAAGTATAGTGGCTGAAAAACTAGCCAAAAAGTTAGTCGATATCTGAAAAGTTATTTGTTAAATAAAAAGCTAATAACTGAAAAGTTACCTGATAAAAAAGTTAGTCGATATCTGAAAAGCTAATAACTGAAAAGTTACCTGATAAAAAATAATGTTTGCTAAAACTAGTTGAAAAGTTAACTGAAATATATAAAATGGCATAAAATGACATTTTAAAAGAATGTGTTTCTATGATTAATTAAGGGGTATATTTGGAAAAAAATTAAAAATGTCCTAAAAAGCTAGTTGAAATAGCTTTTTAAAAAGTTAGCTTATAAGCTACTTTTTGTCTTGCCAAACATGACAACGTAAAAAAAATCGAAAAATAAGTTAGTGAAAGTTGAAATATTGAAAAAAAAAAAAAAATTGGAGAGACCCAGACACGAAGAACACTAAAAATCATTTGGTTTTCTTGAACTCATCATGTTTAATCTATTTTACTCCGTATGAATGTGTTTTTCAGATTTAGTTATGGGCTAAATACCATAACTTTCGTTTAGCATAGATGAACCTAATGACTATGGTGCTGTTTGTTTTTCTTAAAAAACCTCTTCAAAACTCTTATTGATGCGCGGCGCAGCACACGCGTAACACTTTTTGTCCCACAGCAGTTTGTTTTTCGGAAGTCTTCGGGGGCTTAAAACATCTGTTCGTGTGCTTCTTGGGGAAGCACTTGTTGTACCTCTTCCCACCCCTTCAAACAGCACCTAAAAAAAATCCAATCCCAAAAGGCCCTTTTTTCTTGTTCCAAAAATCTAACAAGGCCGTGTGTTGTTTTTTAAATAAGTATCCATGAAGTATATTTAATATTACGTTTATGGTCATTTACTTATATACTATATTTTATTTTCATCTCTTTAACATTTAATACATTAGATTTATATCCCTTTAACTGTTTTCTCCCATTTGATTTACATAAGTTAATTCATTTTAATGTTGTTTTTTAAATTAGTTTATTTTAAATTTTTAATGTCTGCAGATGTTAACAAAATAAACACACTTCTTATTACAGACTGCAGCCGTTTGGTCCATCTCTTCTGCTGCAGAGGTTTGCAGAGGTGGTCCGCAAACTTTTTGAATTTTTGTTTCGGAAAAACAAACAGCACCTATGTGTTGATTTAGACTTCTATGGATTAATTTTTGTTGGTTTTTACTTGCTTGTTTATTTATGAAAGTTGAAATATTGAAAAAGAAATAAAAAGTATGATTGTAGAAAAAAATGAGAAAAGAGAAAAAAGAGTTCAAAAAAATAGTGTGATGCAACAACGTAGAGAGGGAAAGAGTCCGACTCACGACTCATACAAAAGAAGCATTTTCGGGAGGTAGCCCGTGGTTTGGTTTGAATTTTCTTTCCTTTATTTCTTGTTTTTACTTTTTGTTTTTTGTTTTTCGTTTTTAGGATAGTTCACTCATTCGTCTTACTTTCTGAAATCATTTCCAGTGTGGGGTAAGAAAACATGTTTGTGGGGAATTTTGAAACAAATTTGATAAAAGGGAATTTGGGTATTTAATATTATACGAAACCCACGACATGGTCCATACATGGCTACGACGTGGGATCTGATTTGGCCACGTCTAAAAAAACGCATCTAGTATCACCACGATGTGGTGACATAGTTGCCACAATGTGGCGACCTGGGGGGGGGGCAGAATAAGACTAGCCCTAGATTTTATTCACTTTCCACTTTTATAAACTAAACACATGACATGTTCTTCTCTGCCCCTTGTTTTTTTTCTGCTAAATTGCCATTTTGTTTCTAATTTTCGTGACCAAACCATCTTGAAGGTATGAGTTTTACACTCCAATTTATTTGATATTGTGTTATTTTCCTAATTTAGAACAATTAGGGCCGATTTTAGTTTTAGGGCTTATCAAATTGTGGATTTTTAACTGTTGATTCTTGATGCACTTTACGCTTAATGTGTTTAGACTTGCATTTAGACTATATCCCTTGAATTTCATGATTGATTTTAGTCGACAACATGTCCGATTCGGTCATGTTACTGTTCATTAAAGAACACCACGATGTGGTGGCGTTTATGCCACGTTATGGGAAATGGGTTCTTAGATTATGATTTATTTGATTTAACTGATCTATGTCATGTTTTGGGTATTGTTTGTTTTACTGTTTTAAAGGTTACATGGCCTCAAGAACAAGACCGAACAGCAGCCCCGAGAAAACGTTCAACACTTGCAGCGGTTTTACCAAATTCCAACAGACATTTCGCAAGACCTTTTGACTATTTTTAACAACTGACTTGGGTGGTTATACAACATGAAATTTGCTATCTTACCCGTTATAGATTGGTAATGGTTAAACAACAACGGGGTGACATAGCGTCTTAATCGATATTTAACCAAGAGGTACATTGTGACAACTAGCAAATTTATGGTCGAGATTGTGATCCATGTACAAACAATTCCTCTATGTAACCTTGTTGCATTAGATTATTGAATTTCAAAAATGGCAATGTTATATGAATACATATGTGCATACACTAAGAATCAAGTTGTAATATCCTCTTATAAGCCCTAGTTTGATCTAATAGCTAAACACAAGTCAATTTTTGGGCATGTGCTTAGGAGTTCTCGGCCCAAGTAAACCCTAGGCCGAAAACCCTTTTTTCCTTTGGGCCTTATTGAAACCGAAAACCTTCTTATTGGGTCAAATTAAGCCCGAAGGCCCATACCCACTCAAAGACCGAGAACCCTATTGGAAACCCCATGAAGGCCGAAAACCTTATGAGGTTTCGGTTGGGCATGAGACAAAAAAAAAAGACAAAAGAGGGATGATCTTGTTGGTGACACCTCACCACTTTACTTCTTTTGGACCATCAAACAACTAGGCAAAACATGTAACAACCTACCATGCCTCCATACACATCACCTAATGAACCTTCATGTAAAGGTAAAACGGATTACTCCCCCCCCCCCCCCCCCC